TTCAATACAGCTTGAACTTCTTCCTTTATCACCATTGGTTATGAGATAATATGCTACTTCCTGAAATATTTCAGTGTTGACTATCATTTTCATACAGTGACCCCGTGTACTACTTCAATCTTCTTTGTATGCTTCCTGGATTATTCAAGACTTTGCCCATAGCATTTTTCAGTATTGCAACTTGACTCTGTTTTTAAGTTCTTCCGAGTATATGTGCCATGTATGGAATTTCTAGGCTGTACAATAGTTTTACTTAAAAAGATTACCATACAACCCAGAAATCCCATACTTTGGTATATACACTTGGAAGAAAGCAAAACAGGAGTCAGACAGACAAGTGCATATCAATGGGCAATGCCAGCTGCAAAAGGTTACACGTTCTATGATTCCACGGATGTAATCTTTCTAAAATCACTTGCTTTTTAGGCATCAAGAATGAAGGATGGGTGGATGTAGCTATGAAAGGTCTGCACAAGGGACTCCTGTGGTGATAAAACTATTATGTATGTCAAATGTCCAGGGTGTGAAATGTCATGGTGGATACTGGCACTCACACAGGTGATGACACTCTATAAACATGAACGCATGTAAGTGAACAGAAAACTGACAAGTCAGATAACACACACACACATCCAAGTGAACAGAAAGGCAACAAGTAAGTTAACACATACATATATAAAAGTGTACAGAAAGTCAGGTAACACACACGACTATACAGAAAGCTCAAAAAATACGAGTGCACAAACATGTCTAGAAAGCTCAAAGCACACGTGCACACACATGTACAGTAAACAGAAAGACAGCATACGTGCACACATCTACAGACAGCAGAAAGACTGGAAATCATATGCATATGAACAAATGTATATAGAAAGCCAGAAGGTTCGAAAACACACATGGGCAGTGTGTACAGAAAGCTCAAAGTTCAGAAAATACACATGTGCACACATGTGTATGGAAAGCAGAAAGATCAGAAAGCACACATGTACACATGTGTTTCGAAAACTGGAAGGTCATAAAACGCATGTGTACACATGTACATATAACTGAAATCTCAGAAAACCCATGTGCACACCATGTACAGAGAGCTAAGATACTGGAAAAGACACATGCAGACACATTGTACAGAGAAACGAGAGACTGGAATAAATACCTTGGTTGTGATTTTCTATGAACATTTTGTCACTACTACTGTATTTTGTAGAAAACTGGGCAATGTGTAAAGGGAATTTCTTAGAATGATTCCTAATACAACATGAAAACTAAAATTGGTTCAATAGAAATTTCTATTTAAATGGTAAGCTCTAGTCTTGGGCTGTTAAATTCCTAATAAAAAATTCTATTAAGCCCACTACTTCAACCTCTGCCATTGCTGCCACCAGATAAAGGACAAAGCAAGAGAGGTGGCCCATGCCACCTGTCACTCAATTCCTTCAGTGTGCCTCCCCAAAAAGTTGTTTGTCTCACCAGCTCGCCTGCACCCCCACTCTGATCAGAGCTAGATCCAGGGTTGCATACAAACCAATTACTGCACCAGCATTATCTCAACCTGAAGCTAGGACTGGGCTCAGCAGTGTTTAGTGGGGCTCAGAACGCTAAGTCTCTGCTAATTCAAAGGGAGTTTCAAACCAGTGCAATGAGCAGAGACACTGATACTGCTGCCAAATGTCTTGGTGCAGGAGCTGCAGTAGCAGGAATGGCTGGTTGGCAAGCCTCATCACTGGCCATGCTGGAACCCCCTCACTGAAGCAGCACTTGTTCTCAAACCTTGTCCTGGGATCTGCCGTGTCTGAAGCAATGGGTGTCTTTTGTTAGATGGCTGCTTTGTTGATTTTGTTTGCTATGTAACAGAAATAACTACTAGAAACATTGGCATTCATATTAATTATGAAATGGGTATAATTCTGTTATCTTACTGTGACTCCAGAAACTGTAGTGTTGGTATCACGGAAATGTACATTTTTTCCAAAGTCATTTCACTAAAGGTAAAAAAAAAAATCTATTAAAAATATTTTCAGCAGAATGACATGAAATATGAAAAACTTAAGAATAAATAAAATTAAAGCTATAAAAGATGACTATAGGAATAGGTAACAATATGGAGAGAAATGAAAGATAAGGAGCCCTGGTATTGCAGCAGGGGGTAATGGAAAGATCAGCAGTTCAAACCCACCAGCATCCCCCAAGGAGAAAAATAAGGCCGTCCCCTCCTACTACGCCTCAGAACCCTGACGGAGGGTCATCCTGAGTCGGAACTGACTCAAATGGACGTGGTTGGAGTATATGAATGAACATACTATTTTCATGGATTATTAGTTATGTGACTGCAGAGATGTCATTTATACCCAACTGACCTCCAGCTGGCAAAGGCTCACTCCTAGGCTTTCAGTCACATCTGCTCACTTCCACTGTTGTAATATGGAAACCACAGGCAGCATGTAACCGTGGCTATAGCTGTGTTCTCTAGGATTTCATTTACAGGCTGACTTTACCTTCTGCCAGAGTCTGACCATCCAGATGTAGTCAATGTAAGCCTAATCAAAATATCAGCAGGTTTTCATTGCAGAAACGGAAAGCTCATTTATACAGAAATACAAAGAGAACAGAATCAAAACAACTGTGAAGGAAACAAAGTGACAGGCATGACTTTTTCCGATATCAGGGCTTGGTATATGCTGCTGTGATTAAGACAGCATTGTACTAGGGATCTCTGGTGGCCTAGTGGCAAGAAGCTGCACTACAAGAGGCATATGGTTTGAATCCATCAGATGCTTTACTGGAAAAGAAAGGGTAATCTCCTGTACCTGTCAGATCCGATTTGACAGTATGTATACACACACACACACACACACACACACACACACACACACACTAATAAAAGACATTATTCTGAGTGAAATATCTCAGTCACAAAAGGACAAATACTATATGGTGCCACTGTTGTAGAATGAGGCTGACATCAGGGTGTGGGTCAGACTGAGAAAAACTGGATAAATTATGTTTACTGCATTGAAACCAATGAGGGAGAGAATAGTTTAAAAGTAATATATTTTAGGGCATTATGATTATTGTAAGAGTCCG